CGTGCTTCCAGGGCGCAGCTCCCCAAGGCAGCAGGGCGCAGCCCCCTCCGCCTGGAGCCGCCACCAGAGCTGCTCCCGAGGCCTTGCAGGGCGCGGCTCCAGCCCCACGGTGTGTGGCGTGCTCTCCCCCGGGGCACTTCCTCTGTTAGTGACCCCGGGAAATGGGAGGCTCCACTGCCCCTCCTGAGGTTCTGCCTGAGTTCCCTGGTAAGAGCCTTCCTGTCCAGGAAGAATCCGGTGCAGATTTTTAAAGTTCCTGCTTCTCCAGGACTGGGCTTTCCTGTCCTGGAGGCTTTCACCACCTGACCTTAGACCAGCTCCTCTAGGGACCCCTCCCCAACTTGATTATTTTTTTTCCCCACCTTCCTACCTTGTTTTTTTTTTTTTTTTTTTCTCATTAAACTTTTGTTTTAATGGTCTCAAAATTCTGTGACAGATTTTTGGTCAAGTTGTTTCCATTAAAAAGTACTGATTTTAAAAACTAATAACTTAAAACTGCCACACACGCACAAAGAAAAAAAAACAAAATGGTCCACAAAACATTCTCCTTTCCTTCTGAAGGTTTTACGATGCATTGTTATCATTAACCAGTCTTTTACTATTAAACTTAAATGGCCAATTGACACAAACAGTTCTGAGACCGTTCTTCCACCACTGATTAAGACTGGGGTGGCAGGTATTGGGGATAATATTCATTTAGCCTTCTGAGCTTTCTGGGCAGACTTGGTGACTTTGCCAGCTCCAGCTGCCTTCTTGTCCACTGCTTTGATGACACCCACAGCAACCGTCTGTCTCATGTCATGAACAGCAAAACGGCCCAGAGGAGGATAGTCAGAGAAGCTCTCAACACACATAGGTTTGCCAGGAACCATATCAACAATGGCTGCATCCCCAGATTTCAAGAACTTGGGACCATCTTCCAGCTTCTTTCCAGAACGACGATCTATCTTTTCCTTCAGCTCAGCAAACTTGCAAGCAATGTGAGCTGTGTGACAATCCAGCACAGGTGCATATCCAGCACTGATTTGGCCTGGATGGTTCAGGATAATCACCTGAGCTGTGAAGCCAGCTGCTTCCATTGGTGGGTCATTTTTGCTGTCACCAGCCACGTTGCCACGACGAACATCTTTGACAGATACGTTCTTGACATTGAAGCCCACATTGTCCCCAGGAAGAGCCTCACTCAAAGCTTCATGGTGCATTTCAACAGACTTTACTTCAGTTGTAACATTGACTGGAGCAAAGGTGACCACCATACCAGGCTTAAGAACACCAGTCTCCACTCGACCCACTGGGACAGTACCAATACCACCAATTTTGTAGACGTCTTGGAGAGGCAGACGCAAGGGCTTATCAGTTGGACGAGTTGGTGGCAGAATGCAATCCAGGGCTTCAAGCAGTGTGGTTCCGCTGGCATTCCCATCTTTACGGGTGACTTTCCATCCCTTGAACCAAGGCATGTTAGCACTTGGCTCCAGCATGTTGTCACCATTCCAACCAGAAATTGGCACAAATGCTACTGTGTCGGGGTTGTAGCCAATTTTCTTAATGTAGGTGCTGACTTCCTTAACGATTTCCTCGTATCTCTTCTGGCTGTAGGGTGGTTCAGTGGAATCCATTTTGTTAACACCAACAATTAGTTGTTTTACACCCAGTGTGTAAGCCAGAAGGGCATGCTCACGGGTCTGCCCATTCTTGGAGATACCTGCTTCAAATTCACCAACACCAGCAGCAACAATCAGGACAGCACAGTCAGCCTGAGATGTGCCTGTAATCATGTTTTTGATAAAGTCTCTGTGTCCTGGGGCATCAATGATGGTCACATAATACTTGCTGGTCTCGAATTTCCACAGGGAGATATCAATGGTGATACCACGTTCACGTTCAGCTTTCAGTTTATCCAAGACCCAGGCATACTTGAAGGAGCCTTTTCCCATCTCAGCAGCCTCCTTCTCAAATTTTTCGATAGTTCTTTTGTCGATCCCACCACATTTGTAGATCAGATGGCCAGTAGTGGTAGACTTGCCCGAATCTACGTGTCCAATGACGACGATGTTGATGTGAGTCTTCTCCTTTCCCATTTTGGTTTAGGTTTAGCGGTGGTTTTTACGACACCTGTGTTCTGGCGGCAAACCCGTTGCGAAAAAGCACCTTCCTACCTTGTTAGAAGCACAAACTCTTCTCTCTGTAACGTTCCAGCTGTTCTCTCTTTAAATCTCAGGTTGAATTTATAGGTTTTCAGGATGATTTGAAAGTTATCTATGTAAGTTGGTGGGGACAGGTGACTTGGGGACCCTACTTCGCTGCCATGTTGCCCCCTCTATTTTTAAATTTGTTTCAAGCATGCTTGTGATTGATCATTGAAGTGTTTTTGTGATGGCTACTTCAAACTCTTTCAAATAATTCTACTATCTCTGTCATCCTGATGTTTCTGATATGACAAGTTTTTGTCAACTGAAACTTGGGCATTTAGCTCTTATTTAAACTTTGTCTTTTATCTGGTGTTCTTTGACACTGTACTGGGAGAGTAAGGGAGCTTCACTTTATTACCACTGGTGGGGTTCCAAATTTCACACTTAAACTTTCAGTTTCAACTTAGTAGCATTATGAAATTGGGACTTTATAAAATCTGGGAGGATTATATATGCTCTGTCTTTGAAGATTTCCATGGAGGACAATGGACATTTGGGAGTTCAAATTATTATATTTGCATATGTAATGAAAAGGTAGCTATGATTTTGGTATCATAATTTTCTGTTTCCAACAATGCCCAATTAGTACCCACCAGGGATTCTAGAGGGACATTGGACTTTCTTTGTTCTATCTTCTAATGAGGTCTGGTGTGTCTGGGGTTTGCCACTGGTCCTAATGGATCCTGACTGTTGTCAAGAGAGTCGAATGCTAAGAATATGATGGGGGAAATTACTTTAACTTTTATCTTAGCTACCAATGACATGTTTATTCTCCTCAACATGGAGAATTTAGGAAGTGGAAATGCATTTTACCTGCCCTGGAATGCATTTAAGAAGAATACTATTAGAAGGGACTAGTTTGAGCGAGGAGGCTAAGTCTTCCACCCTGCTCTGGAGCATTTGCCCAGCAAGCAGAGTCTCCTGTTGGTGGTGGCTGACTCAGGAGCAGAATGGGATTTTGGAGAACTTGGAGCCTGTAAGGAAGGTATAAAACTTTTTGGAATTCCAAGTTAACTTACTCCCAGATTCCAGTAGAGCACTGGGAATGGTATATATGTGCTCTCCTTTCTTTCTCAGGATTTCATCAGGTAAGAATGCCATGGAACTTTCACTTTTGTTTACCCCAGTTTTAGAAAGTTCCGATTTCGTATGAAGAAGCAGGCTTAGCAGACAAGATGCACAGTTTGAACTTTTCTCTAGGACAAATTAGGATAATTTTAAATGCAAGTGCTTCTCTGTCTCTTCCCATCCTCTCTCTCTCTCTCTCTCTCTCTCTCTCTCTCTCTCTCACACACACACACACACACGTACATACACACACAATTTCTAAGTGCCTAGATCAGAATTTTGATTTGTTGGAAGAATGAAAGAGAAGGAGACTGAGTTCTGTTTATTGTGAGCTGCATTTAGGTGAGTAAATGGCTTTAGTGTGATTGCATTATTTTGCTGTTCGTTTATTGTAAATTGAAGCAGAGTCTGTTCCTCTTTAGACTGATTTAATATACTTAAAAGAGTGAGGTTTGACTAAGTCAGACAGCCAGTTCAGAGATCTGAAATAAACACTAGTTGACCAGAGTGACAAAGGCTCACATAGAGAAGTTTTTTGCCTTGAAGGAATATTTTATTTAGCTGGACAATAGAAGAGAGAATGATCAGAAAATAATTGCCAGAGTCAAGGCATACAATTTCTCTTTCTATCCTCAGGCTAGCATCTCCTAAATGTAGGGACTCATAGGGTCAGAAGATATTCTCCCTTAGAATGACCCCTTACTGACTAGTCTCAAGCTCTGTAGGAAAATCGCCTGACCTGTGTCTCCAAAAATATAATTAGAGTCCACCTGCTACTCTAGTACTCTCACTTTAGAGAGCTGCACCTGGAAGCAAAGGAAGTTTCCCTAGAGATGATGTTATGACTTCAAATATGGATGAAAAATCCTAAGGATATCATCAAGGTATATATATTTTTTTGGTGGGATGACCTACTCATGATTATAAGTATTTTAACTAAGGATACAATTTTCCTTTTATAATATTTACATTGTGGATGCATGATATGAATGGTACCTTATCAATAATGATCAGATATATAACTTAAAGAAGGATTTTTCTGCTTGTCAATAAACTATAGAAGAATAACTAACACTGTTAAAGTTACATTATTCTTTATGAAGTCTTATAACCACACGCACAGTTCTTTTTTACCACTTAACATAAACATATTCATAGATAAAAAAATATTTTTACTTAATAAAGTGCAAAACTTAGACATAAAATATAAAGTTTAAAGTAGTAGAAAAATCCAATCACCATGCCTACATTATTTTATTTTTTATTGATTTATTTCCATTCTTAAAATTTTTAATTATAGTATAGTTGACACACAGTGTTCTGTTAGTTTCAGGTATACAATATAGCAATTCAACAACTCTATATGTTATGCTATGTTCACCACAAGTTTAGCTAACATCTGCACCATACAATACTATAACAATACCATCAATTATATTCCCTATGCTATACTTTTCATCTCTGTGACTTATTCATTCCATAACTGGAAGGCTGTACCTCCCACTCCCCTTCTTCCATTTGTCTACACTGTTTTATACATTTAATAAAATAAAGTTCTTCATTCTTCAGTTATGATACCCTACACAATAGCTCAGAGTTGGAGAAATGGAAAAGTCAGTGATGGAGGATGCAAGAAACCACACAGAAGTTCAGGAATTCACCTTGGAGGGTTTTCCTGGTGTCCAGCACCCTGGAAAGATTCTCTTCCTGGTGCATCTGTTGGCATACCTGGCCTCCATCATGGGAAACATACTCATAATCACCATTACCTGGGCTGACCATCACCTCCAGACACCCATGTACTTCTTCCTCAGCAGTTTCTCCTTTTCTGAATGCTGTTTTATAACCACTGTTATTCCAAAATTGCTGGCTATCTTTCTGGTAGGGAGGCAATCAATTTACTTTGCTGCCTGCTTCACACAAGACTTTATCTTTCTTTTCCTGGGAATAACTGTTTTCTTCCTTATGGCTATATTATCCCTAGATCGTTACTTGGCCATTTGCAAACCTCTGTATTACCCAACCATCATGAACCCAAAGATGTGTTTCCTTCTGGTCATTGCCTGTTTAGCTTTGGGATTCATCCTTATGGTGGTTCCAGTTGTAATGTTTTCCCATTCATCCTTCTGTGGTTCCCATATCATACCTCACTTCTTCTGTAATTTTGGGCCCCTGGTTTATCTCTCCTGTTCTGATACCAGATATACTGAGATGTTGGCCTTTGTCCTTGATTTGTTTATCCTTTTGACATCCCTTATCATAACCATCATTACCTACAGCAACATAGTAATCACAATTGTGCAACTCCCATCAGCCAAGGAGAAAAAGAAAGCTTTCTCCACCTGCTCCTCTCACCTCATAGTCCTCTCTCTGATGTATGGCAGCTGTGTCTTTATATATATGAAACCAAAGCAAACGAAAGGGCTGGACTCCAACAGAGAGGCTACCCTTGTGAACATGGTGGTAACCACACTGCTCAACCCTGTCATCTCTACTCTGCAGAACAAGCAGGTCCACTAGGCTGTAAGGGATACTCTGTCCAGGGTTAGATTGAAGAAATAGAACCACTGACTGTCAGAGGAGAATGCTACTTCTACATCTAATACAATGTCCCTCCTGTTTCTGGAATCTCCTATATAGGCTAGCAAATACGTTGTTAGAGGTTCTGCTTGTTTATTCTTAGAATAGGGGCAAATTTATCTTATAATCCAATATTCTCCACTTCTTGAAAACTCTAACATTCTTCTTTATACTGAGATGAAATTATCTTCCTGGATCTTTTCACTAGTTTTAGATCACTAGAATTCAGCAAATCTTAATGAACAGCCTCATATACATGATTCTGTTTGATGCATGTGGAATCTCAAAGTTGGAAAGCTGGTATTTCAAGTATCTATTTTTGGTAAGTGCATGAGGATGAAAAATGAAATTCACAAGAATTAAGAGTATCAAATTGGTTCAAGGATAGATGTAATGAGGTCACTATATTTATTTTTGAAGGACACATATATACATAACTGTCATGATATTAATAATACTACTTGAAATGACTTAATGCATTATTTTCAATGGTGCATAATTTTTTATAAATAGAATGTAAATCTTTATAATTCTAGTTCTGACTATAATAAAGACATATAAATGTCTCTAATTGAAATGGAAAGTTTCCATTGGTATTACTGGTTTGCCAGGATGATTTCAGTACTAAAGACCTGATGATGAGTACCATAGGAAAGGAAGCATTATAAGTTCTGGAACAAGGAATTGAGTAGTTAAGATTGTTTCCCTACAACACGAAATATAAAGGAACTTGGAGGAATCTAACCAGAGGTAGAAAGGAGTCTAATTGTGACTGTAGAGTCTTTCCAAATAAATCTATAAACAAGTATCTTTATTTGTGGAACAACAGATTTGATGTGATGGGGGGAGGGGCAAGATGGTGGAAGAGTAGGGTCCCCAAGTCACCTATCCCCACCAGATTACCTAGATAACCTTCAAATCATCCTGAAAATCTATGAATTCAGCCTGAGATTTAAAGAGAGAACAGCTGGAATGCTACAGTGAGAAGAGTTCAGCTTCTATCAAGGTAGGAAGACAGGGAAAAAGAAATTATTGACGAAGCAGCACTGGAAAGTTCCAGGGGAATTCAAGGGACTTACAGTATACAGAATCAAAGGATACTCCCCCTTGTCTTTTTTTTTTTTTTTTTTTTTTTTGCTTTTTGATTTCTGTTTGCTTCCCCCGCCCTTTTTTCTTCTGTTTTTTTTTCTTTTTTATTTTTTTCTGCCTTTTTTCTTTTTTTCTTTTATTTGCTTCTTTCTCTTCTCTCTTTTTCCCCTTTTCCCAATATAACTTGTTTTCCCACTCTGCTGAGGAAAATGACTAGAAGGAAAACATCACCTCAAAAGAGAGAATCAGAAACAGTTCTCTCTCCCACAGAGTTACAAAATTTGAATTACAATTCAAGGTCAGAAAGCCAATTCAGAAGCACTCTTATAAAGCTACTGGTGGCTCTGGAAAAAAGCATAAAGGACTCAAGAGACTTCATGAGTGCAGAATTTAGATCTAATCAGGCAGAAATTAAAAATCAATTGAATGAGATGCAATCCAAACTAGAAGTCCTAACGACGAGGGTTAACGAGGTGGAAGAACGAGTGAGTGACATAGAAGACAAGTTGATGGCAAAGAGGGAAACTGAGGAAAAAAAGAGACAAACTATTAAAAGATCATGAGGATAGATAAAGGGAAATAAGTAACAGCCTGAGGAAGAAACACTTACGTTTAATTGTGGTTCCCAGGGCGCCGAAAGGGACGGAGGGCCACAATATGTATTTAAACAAATCATATCTGAAAACTTTCTTAATCTGGGAAGGGAAACAGGCATTCAGATCTAGGAAATAGAGAGATCCCCCCCAAAAATCAATAAAACCCTTCAACACCTCGACATTTAATAGTGAAGCTTGCAAATTCCAAAGATAAAGAGAAGATCCTTAAAGCAGCAAGAGACAAGAAGTCCCTGACTTTCATGGGGAGGAATATTAGGGTAACAGCAGACCTCTCCACAGAGACCTGGCAGGCCAGAAAGGGCTGGCAGGGTATATTCAGGGTCCTAAATGAGAAGAACATGCAACCAAGAATACTTTATCCAGCAAGGCTCTCATTCAAAATGGAAGGAAAGATAAAGAGCTTCCAAGACAGGCAGGAACTGAAAGAATAGGTGACCTCCAAACCAGCTCTGTAAGAAATTTTAAGGGGGACTCTTAAAATTCCCCTTTAAGAAGAAGTCCAATGGAACAATCCACAAAAACAGGGACTGGATAGATATCATCATGACACTAATCTCATATCTTTTAATAGTAACTCTGAACGTGAACGGGCTTAATGACCCCATAAAAAGATGCAGGGTTTCAGACTGGATAAAAAAGCAGGACCCATCTATTTGCTGTCTACAACAGATTCATTTCAGACATAAGGACACCTACCGCCTGAAAATAAAAGGTTGGAGAACAATTTACCATTCAAATGGTCCTCAAAAGAAAGCAGGGGTAGCCATCCTTATATCAGATAAACTAAAATTTACCCCGAAGACTGTAGTGAGAGATGAAGAGGGACACTATATCATACTTAAAGGATCTATCCAACAAGAGGACTTAACAATCCTCAATATATATGCCCCGAATGGGGGAGCTGCCAAATATATCAATCAATTAATAACCAAAGTTAAGACATACTTAGATAATACTACACTTATACTTGGTGACTTCAATCTAGCAGTTTCTACACTCGATAGGTCTTCTAAGCACAATATTTCCAAAGAAATGAGAGCTTTAAATGCTACACAGGACCAGATGGATTTCACAGATATCTACAGAACTTTACATCCAAACTCAACTGAATACACATTCTTCTCAAGTGCACATGGAACTTTCTCCAGAATACACCACATAGGGGTCACAAATCGGGTCTGAACCGATACCAAATTTTGGGATCGTCCCCTGCATATTCTCAGACCATAATGCCTTGAAATTAGAACTAAATCACAACAAGAAGTTTGGAAGGACTTCAAACACGTGGAGGTTAAGGACCGTCTTGCTAAAAGATTAAAGGGTCAACCAGGAAATTAAGAAAGAATTAAAAAGATTCATAGAAACTAATGAGAATGAAGATACAACCATTCAAAATCTTTGGGATGCAGCAAAAGCAGTCCTGAGGGGGAAACACATCACAATACAAGCATCCATTCAAAAACTGGAAAGAACTCAAATACAAAAGCTAACCTTACACCTAAAGGAGCTAGAGAAAAAACAGAAAATAGATCCTACACTCAGCAGAAGAAGAGAGTTAATAAAGATTCGAGCTGAACTCAAAGAAATCGAGACCAGAAGAACTGTGGAACAGATCAACAAAACCAGGAGTTGGTTCTTTGAAAGAATTAATAAGATAGATAAACCATTAGCCAGCCTTATTAGAAAGAAGAGAGAGAAGACTCAAATTAATAAAATCATGATTGAGAAAGGAGAGATCACCACCAACACCAAGGAAATACAAATGATTTTAGAAACATATTTTGAACAGCTATACGCCAATAAATTAGGCAATCTAGAAGAAATGGAAGCATTCCTGGAAAGCCACAAGTACCAAAACTGGAACAGGAAGAAACAGAAAACCTGAACAGGCCAATAACCAGGAAGGAAATTGAAGCAGTCATCAAAAACCTCCCAAGACACAAAAGTCCAGGCCCAGATGGCTTCCCTGGGGAATTCTATCAAACGTTTAAAGAAGAAACCATACCTATTCTACTAAAGCTGTTTGGAAAGATAGAAAGAGATGGAATACTTCCAAACTTGTTCTATGAGGCCAGCATCACTTTAAGTCCAAAACCAGACAAAGACCCCACCAAAAAGGAGAATTACAGACCAATATCCCTGATGAACATGGATGCAAAAATTCTCAACAAGATACTAGCCATTGGATCCAACAGTACATTAAGAAAATTATTCTCTATGACCAATTAGTATTTATTCCCGGGACACAGGGCAGATTCAACACCCGTAACAATCAATGTGATTCATCATATCAGCAAGAGAAAAACCAAGAACCATATGATCCTCTCATTAGATGCAGAGAAAGCATTTGACAAAATACAGCATCCATTCCTGATCAAAACTCTTCAGAGCGTAGGGATAGAGGGAACTTTCCTTGACATCGTAAAAGCCATCTATGAAAAGCCCACAGCAAATATCATTCTCAATGGGGAAGCACTGGGAGCCTTTCCTCTAAGATCAGGAACAAGACAGGGATGTCCACTCTCACCACTGCTATTCAACATAGTACTGGAAGTCCTAGCCTCAGCAATCAGACAACAAAAAGACATTAAAGGCCTTCAAATTGTCAAAGAAGAAGTCAAACTCTCCCTCTTCATTGATGACATGATACTCTACATAGAAAACGGAAAACACTCCACCCCAAGATTACTAGAACTCATACAGCAATTTGGTAGCGTGGCAGGATACAAAATCAATGCCCAGAAGTCAGTGGCATTTCTATACACTAACAATGAGAATGAAGAAAGAGAAATTAAGGAATCAATCCCATTTACAATTGCACCCAAAAGCATAAGATACCTAGGAGTAAACCTAACCAAAGAGGTAAAGGATCTATACCCTAAAAACTATAGACACTTCTGAAAGAAATTGAGGAAGACACAAAGAGATGGAAAAATATTCCATGCTCATGGATTGGCAGAATTAACATTGTGATAATGTCAATGTTACCCAGGGCAATTTACACATTTAATGCAATCCCTATCAAAATACCATGGACTTTCTTCAGAGAGTTAGAACAAATTATTTTAAGATTTGTGTGGAATCAGAAAAGACCCCGAATAGCAAGGGGCATTTTAAAAAAGAAAACCATAGCTGGGGGCCTCACAATGCCAGATTTCAGGTTGTACTACAAAGTTGTGGTCATCAAGATAGTGTGGTACTGGCACAAAAACAGACAAATCGATCAATGGAACA